ATGAAATTGTTACTCTGAACTTTGGCAATCTTTGATTTCTCCTTAGGTTCTTGTAAACATTTTGTTCTTTCAGTGCCATGAAATGGACTTGTACGCCAGAAAAAAATAGCATTGCTCACATAATCATGTCCATTATTTTGGTTGACGTAACATGACACAAATGGAACTGTTGGCAGGCAAGCATCCGTAGGAGTGTCAAGCAGATTACTCCATGGAGCTAGAAGTTCGGCGACGACAAGGTACGGACACTACTAAAAATAATCGGGAGCGCCAAATTGCAACCTGTGGTGCCCCATGGAGATCGGGAAGTGTAACCTGTGGTACAAGGTCAGCAAGCCATGTAGCGAAAAGGCTCAATGTTGCATAGGCTACATTAGGTTGGACATACGACTTTGGAGTAACCTACGCATGTGTAGGCGTATGTGGTACAACTAGGGGCCGATTGAGTCTGCTCTTTCCGCAAATGTGAATATGTGGTACGACGATAATAAGTAATAACAATCAAGAAACAGACTAAATCTTTCCTTGGTTTCCAAAACATGGCAGCAGCCAAAACTTGTGAACAGACAAAATCTTTCCTTGGTTTCCATTTGTACCTAGCTGCACTGCTAGCCGCTAGGTGCCAGTTTAGCTCCACGGAGAGCTTGGTTCAGGGGAGGAGGGCAGGAGGCTTCCCTCTGGCGAAGAATACCGGAGGCTTGTGCCTGTCAGCCTGTGTACGTACGCGCAGAGGTTGCCATCGATCGTCTTCGGAGACAGAGGAAACGCAACGTAATCTGTTGCAACGGTTTTTACTTTCCGTGACGTTTCGTGAGAGACGATGATGACGACGTTGATGATAATAATAATAACTATAATGCTTAATTAACTAATTACTCTCCTTAGCATTGACAAATGGCGCTCCTCTTCTTCTCCTCTTGTGGAGTGTGGAGTGCACCGCTACATCTTGACTTTGAGAGAGAAAAATATCTACAATATGGATATGGGAACACCCTTGTTGATAGCCAAAACATGATTAGGAGAATGCAAGATAGACAGAAAAATCAAATACAAGTGAAAGGATCAAATTTAGAGCAAATTAGCAAAAACCAATTAAAATTGGCCAAGGCCTGTTTGGGCAACACCTCAAAATCGCCCCAGGCTAGTTTCGGCAGGAGGTGCAAGTGACCCTATTAACACCGGAACAGACCAGTTTTGGTAGTCTAAGGCTGTTTCAAGTTTTTTTTTTGGAAACTCACTTAGGCCCTGTTCGCTTCTCTTATAATCCGTCTTTTTCAGCTTGTTTTTTCAGCCGAAACAGTGTTTTTTTCTCACAACAAATCAGCCGGAACAGTGTTTTGGCTTGTTTTTTCAGCGAAGCGAACGGGGCCTAATCTTGTAGAAAACTTGTAAATTCTAGGTGAAATAGGTTTCCTAGAATAGGACCACCTCCTCTATTTATATAAGAGGATCGTGGCCGATTGAAAGATCCATCTACCCAATCGATCCAATCTACCTTACTTTTTATCTTTTACCACAAGCTCTTCGAACCTCTTTGTTGTCTTAGCACTCCTTACAATGAGATTTCTCGACATTCTACCTTTGTTGTCTTGCACTCCTCTCAACAAGATTTGTTAGAGTTCTTGATGGCCTTGCCAATCCTAGGAACACCCTCATTGGACATCTCCCCAAATGGAATTTCCTAGAAGGCGTTCATATAAGTGTTCTCGATGAAGAACAAACATTAAATCGGCCTCGCTGATCCCCTGGTCATTGCGTCAAATCCTGTTGTCCACGTTCGGCCCAATCAGGCCAAATCTACTACTGAAAAAATATATTGTTCATGATGGTGCCTTTGTACTAGCGGCGCCATTAGAAATACTGTATATGTTTTCACTGTCCTTTCGTTCCATTTAATAAGACGTATTCTGTTCCATTTTATAAGGCACAATTTGAAATGGTACGTTTCCTAAGTTACACTTCACTTTTTATTTATTTTATATTATATATATTTTAAAGAACATGTTATACACGTGTTTCATTAAGAGAAGGAGATACAACCCACTAAAGTATTGAACAGACATACCGACCAGAAACAAAAAAAAGCACGCGGAGTGCCTAGGAAGGGATAAAACACAGAGAGAGAACAAAATAAAGAGGGGGTAAGGACCACCCAAGTACACACAACTCAAGTAACACCAGAAACTACCGCTCCTAAAGCTGCAAAGAGTAGGCGAAAGGATCAACATGGCTTACGACCGGTGACTTGTTTCCTCTTTAATACCATTGACCAACTGCACTGGCTGAAGCGATTGTCCTCAGAATACCCAAGCGTTGCATTCCATCCAGATCGTCCAAGTGATTAGGACTACTAGGGAATCAAACATTCGACGCCGAGGTTTCAGGATTGACCTTTTTACCCGAAGCCACCAGTCTGTCCAGAAAGTTATGAGGCTGGCAGCCAGTCCAGGATCGTAACTCAACAGCTCTTGTCTCATGCTCCTATGAACAAAGCGCGCAATTCCCTCTATTAATAGCCCATGTCTTTGCAAACTCTTAGACGTCCAACAACGACCAAGAAGGACCAGCCATATAAAGAATTTGCAATTGTTTGGCGTCCGCACCTTCCAAAGTTTTTTTGCGCCGAGTATTGCTTTTTTGCCACATGAAGAAGGACCTATAGGCACTCGAGGTCGAGTACTGAGCATCACCTGTCCAATTCCACAAGAAATCGTGAGGGTCGTTGGTTCCACCATGTCCCAAATGCGCAAATAATACAAAATTCCATGAACGGAAAGCCCTCCCGAGATATCTCGTACCCAAAATTGCCCTCTGAAAGCACGAAAGAATGGACTGGAATGTCACAATGTCTGAGGCGACTAGTGACAAGAACACAACACAACATTATCCGCATAAAAGTGTTGCCCTATGAGTGATGGACCGGAGACCCAATGATTGAAGTAGGGCCCTTCATCTGCATGCTGCATAAGGAGGTTGAGGCATTCCATGACCATGAGGAAGAGCATCTGGGATAGAGGGTCCCCCTGGCGAAGTCCTTGGGCATGACAGATCTTGTTCCCCTTGATGCCATTAACCATGACCTTGGTGCTTGCAAAGGAGAGGAGCACCGAAATCCAATTATTCCAAACTCTAGAGAACCCAAGATGCTCTAGGACCTCAGGCAGGAAAGGCCAAGACATCGAGTCGAAAAGCTTTGGCGATGTCAATCTCGAAGAGCATGCAAGGCTTCTTCCTCGCATGCAATGCCTTGGCCGTCCCATGGACATAGCGGAAGTTGTGTATTTGACAACCTTTCACAAAAGGGTTTTGGTTGGGCAAAATCATCGCGCTAAGCCGAGGTGCGACCCTATTAGCAAGGGCTTTTGAGACCAATTCCCCAAAGTTGTGGATGAGACTGATGGGACGGTAGTCACCTATCCCCTTCGGCTCTGAGGATTTAGGTAGGAGTATGAGGATTGCCCCATTCACTAGATAGAAGCTGCGGGTATCCAAATTTGACAAGGCCGCAAACACATTCATCACATCATGTTTGATTACTGACCAAGCGACCTTGTAGAAGTGACTAGTGAATCCATCAGGCCCAGGGGCCTTATCTGCTAGCATATCATGAATGATCCCCCAAATTTCCTCCTCAGTAAAAGGAGCATTAAGCTCTGAAAGGTCAAGTGAAGGGAGCCCCAATGCCTCAAAGTCCACTCTATGTTATATTGTTCATGCTTATAAACTTTATGAGTATTTGGCACTACAATTGCTTACAAATCTCAATGTATGAAGCTTGCATGATAATAGTTAAAAGTTATTAGCCAAATTATTAGTAAAAGATCTTAAAGTCGTTTCAATGTTTATATAAAGTGTGTGCGTTATAAAAAGAAATGGAGGTAACAGTGGTTCTTTTATGCCTATACCGCTATACACGGTATGTGTACTGCTCTGGCTATGATTTGTACCATAGTAAAAAAATTCGACAAAGAAGAAATAAAATGTGGCCACTGACTTGAATGTGGCTCAGACAGCATCTAGCTAGTATGGTAAACAAAATTTTGAGCAATCAAGTTCACTGCACAATCTGTACTATGCATGGCTTCAAAAATGTTTTGAACAATAATTTGTTTTCAGGGTGCACGCTGGATGCTCGTGATTCAGTTAACGGATGCAATAATATTAATTGCAACAGTTTGTTGCGATGACATTACACAAGTTCATTTAATTAATTTCAAGCGAAAACGAGGTTAGGGTAGTCCCAATGCTAGAAACTATATACCTATTAATTTCTATAGACACTGCATATAGAAACCATGGTCCCAATGGATAATTTCTACATAACAATTTTTTAACCAATCACGTACGTTCTCTCTCAATTCTCTACCAATCACATCCCTTTATATCTTGGTTCTCGTGTAGACATGGTTTTTAACTTAGACCCGGTTTCTATGATTTTTACTTTCTCTCTTCAATAACTACATTGCCATATCAGCAAAACGCTTAGATGGCAGTACAATTAATGTCTATAGAAACTAGGGTAATTTCTGCACTGAGAGTGCCCTTAGATGTTACATGCCCGAGTGCTCAATTGTTCAAGCTGGAAACTGGAGAACTAAATGATCGAGACTGAGAATAAAAATTCAGGAATAACAACTATTTTGAGAATGGAAAAAATATCATTCAACCAATGTGTATGTGTAGAAATTAATCCAACCATTTTTTTGAAAGTAGCTCAGATGAATCATGCATCATTTAGTACTTAAAAAGGTTACTATATATATATACATAGACATGCCACGGGCCACAGCTGATATATAGATGCTTCTAGTTCTCGATCAGACTCCGCATATATTCGTCCCACTTTACCCATGCAAACAGAAATGAAAACATGGCTGTTGCACTCATGAACAGTTAAAAAATATCTATTACCAATCCCCTAGTCATAATAGTGTCGTCGTGCATCCCCATGCCATGAGTTCTTGGTCCTTTGTATACGTACGTCGCTGCTTATCGATCTTTCAGTAGCCAAAGAAACGGCTGCTCTGGCCATGGCGGTCAGCACTGCTAGTCGGCGGAGGCAGCTGGTGGTGGTGATACTGCTGGCCAAAGCTGTAGATGTGATCCATCTCCATGACGCTGACTGCGGCCGCCCTCCTCCGCTTGTAGCTCTCCTTGAAGCACGCCTGCCGCAGCTTATTGGTCCGGCCCGTGAGCTCGATCCAGGGGTTCTCCTCCATGAGCGCGCAGTACGTCTCGAGCGCCTCGAGCTCCTGCTGCACCGCCACCGGGGACACGCCGTTCCCCATTTCCTGCACGCACGCAGCCACGTACGCATGCAACTTGCATTGAGAGGACGTGGCTTCATGGATGCGATGAATTAATGGTGATTATTGGCAGGGTAATGCGGCATCATAGATCGTGCGTTAAGTTTTTGTTATGGACTACTAGTTGAGCCTTCCCAGGTTGGGCCGGTGGCTGGTGTAGTGGTTGGGCTTTCCCAGTTTGTGACGGACCAGCAGCTTATAAGCTGGAGCCGTGTGGTGTGTCGGGGACAAGACTGAAACTCTGTAAACCTTCCTCAAACTGAATCCGGAAATCTCACGGAACCTGGCCGTGTTCGTCTCATCCCCATTCCTATTCTTGCTGTTCCCAGTCCAAATTCAGACTCCAGTCCCCAGTTAGGTTAGCCAGATCATAACAATTGGTAATCGGAGCTCGGTTGATTTGGGGAGAAATTTTTTTCCCAAATCCTGGCGCCGAAGAAACGAAATCCACCAAAATATCAGATCGAGATGGCCGCATCCGTGGAAGAGTTGAAGGAGACGATGCAATCCATGGTGACCCAGTTCGCCGGATTTCAGGAGATGATGACGACGACGTTGGATAAGCTGAGCGCTCTTGAGGCTTGGCGACCATGGCGGATGAGTCCTCGGTACGCTTATTTCAGCGGTCGCTCATGCGACGGCGACTGGTCGAGGAGACTGCTTCTCGCGTCATGAGGCTGGAGTTCCGCCCGCCTCCACCGCCTCCCCCCACCGCCGCCGCCGCCGCAGACTGAACTCGTGACCCACCTCCTCTTCCGCAGACATCTCCACCGAGTCTCAACCTCAACTTCGCCCCGGCCGCTTCCACAAGTGCGACGCCGCCGCGAGTTGACTTGCCCATGGGGCCCGGCGCACAAACTCATCACCGGGACGATGGCGGTGGACTCTTAGGAGCTCCTCCGCCTCGCCCGGACAACGGTACGAACAATGCAACCGTTTCACAAGTTCCATTGTTCGATAACTCATCGCATCATCCTCCGCCATTTCCTAAAATCGAATTCCCCAAATTCGATGGGTCTAACCCTCGTTTATGGCGGGATCATTGCGAGCGCTACTTCGAGGTCTACACTGTCCATCAAGCGATGAAGACGCGCTTCGCATCACTCAACTTCAAGGGCGCCGCGGCGACCTGGTTGCAGACAGTGGAGCGTCGTGGGCGGATTGGTGATTGGCAGCAGCTATGCGAGTTGGTGATGGCCAAGTTCGATAAGGATCAGCATGCATCATGCTTCGCCGCTTGGACACATTGAGGCGCATCGCATCGGGTCCAGAGTATCGTGGAAGAATTTGACAAGCTTGCACACGGTGTCCTCTTGTACAACCTAGCTTTCGATGAGACTTTCTTCGTCACGCGATTCATGGGCGGTCTTCGGGATGAGATCAGGTCAGCAATCTTACTGCATCGGCCTCGTGATGTGGATACAGCAAGTGCCCTTGCTATGATTCAGGAGCAAGAACTTGAGCAACGCAATCCCAAGACCTCTGGGCGGGATTTCACCAGAGGGGGACCTCGAGCAAATTCAGCGTTGGAGAAGACCAAGCAAGTCGAACATGTCAAACCAATGCACAAAGGGCCAACAGTGGACTCAGAAGACAAGTTAGCCACGCTAAGAGCTTTCAGACGCCGGAATGGTCTCTGTTTCAAATGTGGTGAGAAATGGAATCCTACTCATAAGTGCCCTGCAAATGTGTCACTCCATGTTCTCAAAGAGCTATTAGATGCTATGAACATTGTTGCATCGCCTGAGGATACTGAGATTGATGTGGAGTTACTCGAGGAGGAGCAGGCAGTGTTAACTGTTCAGACTGAACCCAAAAACAATAAAGCTACACGCCAAACACTAAAGCTTCTAGCAAGAATTGGCAAGAATTCAGTACTTGTATTGGTTGACTCTGGGAGTATTGGAACCTTTGTGAGTGACAATCTGGTCAACCAACTACAGCTGAGTACAGTGCAGTGTGAAACTACTACATTCAGAGCTGCAGATGGCAGTCAGATGATATGTAATCAGAGAATTCCTCATCTGAAATGGTTTATTCAAGGACACACTTTCACTTCAGATGCTAAGGTTCTTCCATTGAAGTGCTATGACTTGATACTGGGAGAGGATTGGTTAGAGGATCATAGCCCAATCTGGGTGAACTATAAAACAAAGCAGATGACTCTAACTATGAGTGATCAGCAGATACCATTGCAAGGGGTGATTGATGATACTGCTACCTGTCGGCCTATCTCTTCAGTGAAGCTGTCAGGACTGATGAGAAGAGGGGCAGTCTCTCATTGCATTCAGATGGTTGTTCCTAGTACCAGAATGGAAGTTCCATCTATTTGTGTTGTGGAATCAGTAGACCATGCAACTCAGCTTCCAGACACCATCTCCTCTCTGCTACAAGAATATGATCGTTTGTTTGATGAACCTAGGACCCTGCCACCAAGACGAAGTGCTGATCATACAATTCCACTAGTACCAGGGGCTCAACTAGTTAAGGTGAGACCATATCGGTATTCTCCAATTCAGAAAACAGAAATTGAGAATCAGCTAAAGCAAATGCTACAACAGGGAGTGATCAGACCCAGTGCAAGTTCTTTTGCTTCACCAGTACTGTTGGTAAAGAAAAAAGATGGTACATGGCGTTTCTGTGTAGATTACAGACACCTAAATGCTATCACTGTGAAGAATAAGCAGCCAATGCCGGTGGTGGATGAGTTGTTGGATGAGTTGGCAGGAGCAAAATGGTTCACCAAGTTGGATTTTCGATCTGGTTATCATCAGATTTGTATGGCCGCAGGAGAAGAGTATAAGACAGCCTTTAGAACACACAATGGCTTGTTTGAATTCTTGGTCATGCCTTTTGGACTCACTAATGCCCCAGCCACATTTCAGAGCTTTATGAATACAATTTTTGCTGCTCTCTTGAGAAAAGGGGTCTTAGTCTTCATGGATGACATCTTGGTATACTCTGCAACTTTGGAGCACCATGTGGAATTACTGCAGTTAGTGTTTCGAATTCTGCAGCAACACCAGTTCTTCATTAAGAAATCTAAGTGTTCCTTTGCTGCTAACAAAGTGGAATATTTGGGACATGTCATATCAGGAAATGGAGTAGCTACAGATCCTACCAAAATACAAGTTGTCCAGCAATGGCCCTCTCCAACCAATATCAAACAACTTAGAGGATTTCTGGGTCTGACTGGATATTATAGAAAGTTTATCAAACATTATGCCATGATCACTAAGCCACTCACTGATCTATTAAGGAAAGATACTCAGTTTATCTGGACACCCAATGTGGAAGCAGCATTTTAGTTACTTAAGAATTGTCTCATAAAAGCTCCTGTGTTGACTCTTCCAAACTTTTCTAAGCAATTCGTAGTGGAAACTGATGCTAGTGATCAGGGAATTGGGGCAGTGCTTATGCAGGACAACCACCCAATTGCTTATCTCAGTAAGCCATTGGGGCCTAGGAATCAAGCCCTGTCAGTTTATGAGAAAGAGTGTCTGGCCATCTTACTTGCAATTGAAAAGTGGAGATCATATTTGCAACATCAACAATTCATAATAAGGACAGATCACAAGAGTCTGCAGTATTTGACTGATCAAAGGGTGTCTACCAAACTGCAACTCAAAGCCTTGCTCAAGTTAATGGATCTACAGTATACCATTCAGTACAAGAAGGGTACATCTAATGCTGCTGCAGATGCCCTATCCAGATATGACTGGTCCCAGGACCTCAATGCTATATCTGAGTGTGTTCCAACATGGATACAAAAGTTAAAAGAAGGATACGAGGATGATCCTACTGCAAAACAACTTTTAACTGAAATGGCAGTGAGTTCAGAGCATCAAAAGGGCTATTCTCTACAGGATGGGATAATCAGATATCAAGGAAGAGTGTGGGTAGGTAATAACCCTACTGCCCAGCAGCACATTTTAACAGCATTACATGACAGTGGAATTGGGGGTCATTCTGGAATTGCTGCAACCTATGCAAGGGTCAAACATTTATTTGCTTGGCCTGGAATGAAGCAAATGGTAACTGCATTTGTACAGCACTATCAAATTTGCCAACAGGCAAAGACTGAGAGGATCAAGTCTCCTGGACTGCTCCAACCCCTACCAGTTCCTTCACAAGCCTGGGAGATTGTCTGTCTAGACTTCATCGAGGGACTTCCAACCTCTGACCGCCACAATGCCTTGCTGGTTGTGGTTGACAAGTTTACAAAGTATGGTCACTTTATCCCTCTCACACATCCGTTTACAGCTCTGCAGATTGCTCAGCTCTTTATGAGTCACGTCTATAAGCTCCATGGGCTACCTAAGGCCATCATCTCAGATCGAGATAGAATATTTACAAGTGCAGTATGGCAAGAACTATTTCGCTTATCTGACACTAAGCTCATGATGAGCTCGGCCTATCACCCACAAACCGATGGCCAAACCAAAAGATTGAATCAAAGCCTTGAAGCATTTCTAAGGTGCACTGTACATTCTTGTCCGAAACAATGGAGCAAGTGGATTTCAGTAGCTGAGTTTTGGTATAACACTACTACCCATACAGCTCTTGGTAAATCTCCATTTGAAGTGTTATATGGTTACTCCCCAAGACAGCTAGGCATTGCCAATCTTCAGTTATGTTCAGTACCAGATCTTGAACAATGGTTAAAGGAGAGGGAGCTGCTGTCTCAGTTGATCAAACAACAGCTCATCAGAGCACAGCAGAGGATGAAAGCTCAAGCTGATAAGAACAGAACTGAAAGGGAATTCGAAGAGGGTGAGTCTGTGTTCTTAAAGCTCCAACCATATGTTCAATCATCTATTGCATCCCGGAATCATCAGAAGCTATCCTTTCGGTTTTATGGGCCCTTCAAAATACTTCAACGCGTTGGTAAGGTAGCTTACAAGTTGGATCTTCTAGTCGACGCCAAAATCCATCCTGTGATCCATGTATCTCAACTTAAGAAGCATCTGCCTCCTACTTCA